CTGCATTGCATAGCTGCAAAAAACGCCTAAAAAACTGAACAGTCTGCTTTCCTAACAGAGGGCCAGTCAAAAGATTTTCTCCACGCAACTGAACATCAGCATGAAAAAAATTTTCCCCTTGAACGCACCAACCTTGCACTCCACCCTGGTAAGCTCTACTTCGGCCACTGCCGATTCAGCAACAAACTCAAACGAATCGTCCAACGAATTTTCCATTTCATCGGCATCCGACTGGCTTCTCGAACCTGTTAACGACCTGAAAAATCTTACTATGCACAGTTGCAGGCCCCTTGCAATACCACTTCTCAGCCGTGCTGCAATCGTAACAAACAATTGCTCTAAGCAACCGCATGTGGCACCCGACGTTATAAAACCGTTCGCCCAGCACAGCAACTATGCTGCGGTGCACAGCAAGAAACTCATGCAAAATTATAACACAGGGATCTTTCGATCCAGTCCATAAAGGCGGGCGCGAGACGACGTAATTGAAACCCAGGTAATGACGAACCAGGCTTACCAGTACGATCATGCGTTTTTGCATGGTGTCATTCTGCAACGAGATCACCTTTTTACTTCCGGGGTTTGGGTGCGGTGTTGCAACTTAACATCTGATGCGCCTGTATGCAGTACCCATGACGAGGTGGATGCTTATGCTTGGTGGCTCGCATATCAGCAGCAAACATCTTCAGAAAAATACTGCTTCTAGCTTAGCCTGGTTACCGAGTTAATTCGAAGCCGATAGTGTCACAACATAAATTTTCACTTGTGCGCACGCGAGATCTAGGAGTGATTTAAAAAAGCTGGGTTTAAAATGTTTAAGTCGCAAACAGCAAAGAATACTCCCTTAAAATTCCAGCTTTCCAGTCCGATCGGTTAGCGATATTGCTCTTCGTTGCTAATATCTTTGACATGTCTTAAAGCGCAACACAGGCAAATGCCAAAGCCAATTTTAAGCCTACGTGTCCGAGTATGGAAAACAAAAATTGCTGTAAAATTAAGACACGGGTGGTCAACCACCGGCACGCGAAGTGAATCGGAATATGGTGTTCAACTAGACGAACGGGGGTTTGTACTCCGCCACACCTCTGCACTCTCATCAAAATAAATAAAACTAAAATATGCAAGAGGCGAATAGA